GATAGGTACCTAAAGTCCTACAAATCAGACGATACAAAGTACGACCGTCTTCGGCTTGCAGTTTTGCATGTTATCTCCTGATTTAGAATCGTCGATTGAATTTATAGTATTACGAACTAATAAATTCGTCGTTAAAATTTAACGAGATTAGTCTTGCTATTGGTTTTAAATTTTTATACACAGCAAACCCTTTTGTAAGCCAAAATGTTCAATTAATAGATTATGACCAATTTGAATTTCATTGATTAAGATAAGGTAAGGTAAGGCTTAGGTATGATCATCAAAGCTTCTTCAGCTTAAGCTTCTTTCTATATTAGTACCTAAACAGAGGCAATTATTCATATTTATTATATTTAAAGAAAGTTTCCAAATAACTGAAAGCACTAAACATTAGATTTTACAATATATAACTCATATGTTTATAGTGAACTAATCAAATCAAAAAAACCTATTCTACTAAACAAAACAAACTCACTGACGAACTAAGCGTTCGTTAGTATTCACAAAACTACCTATGGATCCTATCTGATTAATCTTAAATATTTATTGCACATAGCTTATTGAAAGACGGAGTTGTGCTAAATTACGGGTGGTGATAAATACATTGATGGTGAAGAAAACGCTGAGTAGAAACGTGGGTGGCCTGTGTTGACTAAGTAAATACTTTTTACATATACATTCGCTTTCTCTAATTACAACAAAAATAATTAGTGAACTATATAAATTATAGTAGTAAGTACTCAGTATTAAATGAGAAGAACTGTCTATAGTTTATGCGAGTAGTACACATTTAAATAAAACACTGTTAACTAAATTAAATTTGTAAATAGTTTAACTAATATATTTCAAGATTAAAATCGTTTAAAATGTTATAGTTAATATGAGAAATCACGTAAGCATCACGGGAACACATGATGTCAAATATGAATATAAGGTTTGATTAAAACCTCTTTCATCATTTAAAATTAATGGTGAACTTCTTCGACAATCGATTAGTTATCTACTAATCCGTAACCTACAGCGGAGTTAAAACGAACGAGAAAAAACTACTTCACCTGTCGAATCTGATAACAGTTTATTTAAATATCTTTAGTTCGCGACTCTAAAACGAACAAAGTAATATTTGTGTCTTATTAAAAGAAATTTATAGTTTGAGCATAGAAATTGATAGACCTTTTAGTTCGACGGTTGTACATAATAAATATAACTGTTTTTTTTTTTAAATTCATATGTATGTTAACTTAGGTAGGTAGATAGTAAAATATGCATACTTTACATATAAAGTAAAATGCAAACTATTAAACCGACGTCATCGTAAATCTATACTTATATTATAAAGCTAAAGTGTTTGTTAGAACACGGTAATCTCAGGAACTACTGATTCAAATAGTTTTTTTTTGTGCTGGTTAGAGAAGTTATCGGGGAAGGGTTAAAACATTACGCTGCGACCGTTAGGTGCGAAGAAACAGTGGAAAATGGTTAATAAACGGAGACAACACAGCCAGTTCCAAATTACAGCAGTGATAACAAATATGACAATTTTTAATTAATGTAAGGGATCAATTATATGCGCGCAAAGATGTCAAAAGTCAAAACACAACAATAATTGAAATATGAATAAAACATGTGAGAATAAATTTTACGTCCAAAACATAATAACGCAGTGCAAGGTGCGCTTACGCACGTGTCTTGCGCCCGCGGCCTAAGCGCGGCAACAAATTCGAATTCGTGTCATACATCTTTACGCTTGCATTCTAGATATAATAACAATACAAACTGGACTCTAAAACGCCCTCTTAAGAACGATTAATAAAGGGAATTGATATTCAAAATAATATCACCTCGGGGTTAACGATTACCGGTGCGCGCATGCGCCACAGATGGCGGGATAAACCGACGTTTGTTTCCGCAGTGATATCTGAATTAAACGATATAAAAGACTCGAAAGGTGTTCATTACCATGATTTATTCAAGATAATAATTCTTGCGCTACCCCCATTGTGTCTACTGATAAACATTTCAAACGAACTGGCTTCACAAATTTCGTTAAAGCTCGAAAGCCCAAATGGAGGTGCGCGCGTTTGAATATTCTATAACGTCTGTAGAGCAGTGAGTGTTACGAGCAGACTATTTAATAATTATAATATTTAAGTAAGAGAAACCGTGATAATGCAGTGACAAGTCCACCATAGTTTGTATTATACAGTGGATTCGGTGTTGTCCGTGGGTTCAAGTCCCAACCAAGTACCAAATTTATTTCTAAAATACGTTATACACTCTATATAGCGACACTGAAGGGACTGTGCATTTTATGGCGTTATAGAGAGTTGTCGTTAAATGGAGAGAAGAAACATTGTATGAAAAACAAGCTAAACCAACCAAAGCCAATTGATTTCGACGCTTAAGAGAGTTTGTCGTTAAATAGAGTGACGTTACATGGAGTTTACACTATATTTATTTTCACGGCCTCTTTGGTGGAATAATAGCAATATAATGGCTAATAATCAACCGGTCGTGGTTTCATCCCCAGGATTTTCCTCATCAATTTATAATTTGCTGAAACATGTTGGACTTCGATGGGAAATCTCGATATTAAATGGGGAGGAAATTATAAGTATTCAACAACCTTCTCGCAACTAGCCAAATCTAATCGTATAAACTATATTTCGTAATGTATTGGATAAGGAATTATGTTCTTACCTTTGACTTAGTTCGTGCCTGTAAGTTGGAAAAGCCTCTATCTGTTGAATGGATCGATTTGATAATCAAAGCAGAAAAATGAAACGCAAAGAATGCTGAAGCACCTCGGAGTGATAGTCTACGCGTGTTGCGCTGAGGCCGCGTCGTCCATCTCGCGGCTCGTTGCCTCACTGAGTACATTCCCGTGTAAGTTTTTACACCTATTATTTTATGTGTCGGCGAGTAAAGTTCGGTACGTGAGTTATAAACTCGCTCGCGGCTCTCTCGCCCCTACTTTATAGGTATTAACGACTTGTCCGAGAGTTTTCTTATAAATAAATTTGAAGGGTAACAAGGCTCGCTTTTGTCGGATTAGTAGAGTGGATCTTGTTTCACTTTGTTGCGAAGCCTCTTCTATTTTTTTAAGCCGGAAATTCGCAGTAATTCCATTTTGATTAGGCTGCTAATTTAAATTTCGTTTGCCATATGAAATTTTAAATTAAGCCTAAACATAATATATTTACAACATCAAACGCGTATTTTTTGCGTGAAGTAACACCATACATTGATATTGTAGTGGGTATATCTTGATAATATAAAATATACTTCTCTAGGAATATTTATTGCATAGATGGTGACAAATATAAGTACTTAATAATACGCTTTAGAATAGGATGGTAATATGGTTTTTATGTCAAAACTAGAATATAAAATTTACATAAAATGTATATGGTAAACACTTATACCTTGGGAGTAAAAGCCTCAAATCAGTGTATCTCGTGACATTCGGCTATAACGCGAGGAGCGCCTATAAAAACGGACGAATGGAAGTTAAGAGCTCTCCTGTAAAATATCAGAGTTGTAAAGTAAATGCGATGGTAGCATCACAACTACGTGCCTACGATTGTTGGGGCGTAGGTAAATTAAAAGATACATATATGGTAAAATTACGTAATATCTACATTACAATAAAGGTATAGTAAAGTCTGAGAAACCAACATTTTTTTAAATATATCCTATCTGTTCTGCACTAATCTTTTCGTGGTATTTTAGTTAAGCAGAGATACCTGCTGTATAGGATGGAATAGGTTTTAAATCGAATTGTAATAAAAAGGTACAGTCATTTAAAAATTGTGTAACTACCGCCATAACTAGTTTAAACGTATAAGCGATTGTAACAACTATTGCTGAATTTCGATTTTGTTTTTCTTGATTTTATTGAAAACATTATGGTTTTCATTTTAAACTGCTTGTTATCAAATAAGTATCTAAACATACTAGATAAGACTGAGTACTTACTTAGTAGACTTATTAACAATTTTATCAGTCACAGCAAAACTCTTATTAAATACGTAGACGAGACACGTTAGACAACGAATTTGTCAAGCTCTATTTTTAAACAGTTATTACCACAAATGACAATTTATTAGTGCTCTTTCGAGGTTTCAAATATCTCTAATGGAGTAACAGTGAGCCATTTCACATCTTCCCCTAACGGCCGTATAATATGCGTTCGCCGAAAATAACTGAACATAAATACAAAAGCAATGTGAAACCACTTAAAGCGAATAAAATATACACGTCCACTTCAACTCTCTAAAATGAATTTATTAATAACGAAGACAATGAACGTCTGAAACAAACGTTTTATTTTTTGTATTTTTAATTGCCCCCGAACGACGGCGAAGACGCATTAGATGAACGAAAATAAACTTCACATCATATTCGACACCCGCCGTCGCCGCCGAGCAGCGCCGCTCGTTCCATTGTTAGTCGCTTCTGCCGCGCTCACTTCCAAGTACACTGAAAACGTCACAACAGTCCTATCTCGGGAAATAATTATTGAATTGTAATTTCGCGACGTCTCCGTCGTATAGCCGGGCTGCAGTTCTTAGATGATATCTTAGTCGTAATTAAAAATCTTGTCGTGACATTCAGAGCCCCGTCCCGCCCCCGCACTCTTCTGCCTCTCTCAATATTACTGGCGATTGAATCGCAATTAAATGTAGCGAATCAAACTCTACTTTATTAAAGGGGTCCGATAGCTCAAAATGGATAGTGCGTAGCGCTCTGCAGAATCGAACGTGCTCCCGTCGAAATGCCAACCATTTTATTTATTCGCCTTAATTATGTATCTTGTCTTAATTTACGATTGGATCATACGATAATCTGAAACGTAATTTATTATAGATGCTTAGGTATTCCAGTCATTTCCATAACGAGATTTAGGATTATAGCGAACGATGTCGAACTCGGTGCTCAGTGTAACGATTAAAATGTACTATCGGTATTTGCTCGCATTTTGCAATTAAGAGAAGACGATGATAGCGGAGATCGCTTCGGTTGCGTTCGCGGCCTTCGGGCTGGATAGCGTCACCGCGTTCAATTTTGTCATGTGCCGATGGCATGACGGCGACGACGATACGACCGCCGCCGATAGCTTTAATGAAAGTAATGGAGGTTTATTAGCGATACGTCGGCGACTCTTCTCGCGTACACGGCTCGTCCGCACCAATAGATGGGAAATCAATGCAAAACGTGCCATGAGAACAAAGAGAGCCACATTTGCTAATTACCTACGGTTTTGCTCGTGTCGTGCTCACAGACGCCGGGTCGTGAGCTCTCGAGATATGACGATAACACATTCATAAATAATTAGAGCGAAATTTTCTCATTTGTAAGACGGCAGTCATGATATTTGGTAGCTGAGTTCTGTGTTCTCGGAATCCTCAGATGTAGATAACTGTTGTAGGACACGCCTGTGCTCTTCTTGTTTTGTCTGATATCGAGATGTATTCGAGACAGCGCAAGATTTCTGCCACAGACTAGTTATTGCTTACAACACAATTAAATATTTAATATGAGCAATTCTTACTAGTTCAAATTTATAACGTATTTTTGCCCTTATAACTACCAAATTGGGTAAATGAATAATAAATAGAAAAGAAATGGCAATCGGTTCCAGTCTCAGCTGTTCTGCTGAATGCTTTTCACCCTCAGCAGCAATACTTTTCAGGCTGGCCCAGGTATGGGAGAAGAGGAGTGAAGTTTACAATACGAATTTATATAATAAGGTCCACGATTGATAGTAAAACAATAACACACACACATCCTCTTTTGTTATAAGACCATACTCCTTGGGTAGCTAACCCCAGGGAGTATGTTTTCTTGTGTGTAATCTTAACCAAGGAATTGGTGTTGACGACAACCTATAGACTTAAGTGATATAAGACTTGTGTTACACCAATAATATTTCACACTATATTTTTCTACAGAAAATATTCCGTCACCTTATATGAAAACAATATTGGATTTATGATAAACTACCTTTCATGAAACATGTGATCGTCGTTAATATACAAAATAAAATATCTATCAACATATAATGTATACCTTATATAATAATTATAGAATTATTATATAAGGTACTTGTATTTACGAACTTCTGGATAGCCAGAAGTTCGTAAATACATATAATACGGTAAATGAGTAGCGCAATGACATTGTACGATAGTGATCATGGGTTCGACTTCCGTTTGTGTCATCGATCGAATCTACGAGACTTATACGTAAAATCAACAGAAAACAATGATCAGTTTTCAAATTTCATGGTCCGATCAACGTTGTGCTCGGTATTAAATTTCCACTTCCGTCAGATGTAAAACAATCGATATTGTCTCTTGCTTTTTTAAGTAAGTAGATTAACAATGGCTTACGTAATTTGCTACTCTTTGTACCTTTAAAAGAACTATTTTAAAAGTTACAATTTTACAAAGAAATTAAAATGCCTTAAGAATGGAAGGCAAATATAATTAGATTTTAAGACTAATTTTACGACACTCACCTATGGGAAGATTCGCGCGACACGTCCGACGAAACATCTGAAGACATCGGCGTATGAACCGCGACAATTGTCATTGAATTATTATTTCACTTTTCGCGTCGCCGTTCGCCGTGCGCATCTCTAATTGTCGTGATGGTTTTGTGCGGGTACATACGTAGATAGTCGTATATTTCGTGTTTACTTTTTTCATATAAGTAACAAAGCAGTCATCCATCAAAGACAAACATTATTTTTACTAATTGTGAGAGCGAGAGCGTTTTCCTGTTAAAACTTCCCACTGGAAGGCAATTAATTAACGTAATATTGTATTAAAATCGTAAATGATTTACGATAATTGAACAGAATCGTCGGAAGGACTCATTGCTTTTTGCTCAGTCACTTTTCGTAGATTAGGAGTTATCAAGCGTGTCCAATTGTTATGGGCATTATAATCGGTTCCAGATATTGGCTCAATCGATGATTTCCTAAAAATATTCAGTTCAACTAAGACGTTACAAAATAAGAAAGTAGTACAGTTTGTAAAACATCCGAAGTCGTATAAACGAAACATGTACAGGACTCAGATGTAGTTCAACAAAATTTTATTTAAACCTATATATCATTTATGTATGTTTCATAGCAGTATTCATACACATTTCTATAATGCGCTTTTTTCTTTGTTTTCTAACACGATAATGATCTTTTAATTTTGCTTAATTTTCAAGGTTAGATTCTTAACCTTCTTTTATTTCCATAAATATTATATAAAATTCTATCTGCCTAATCTATATTCGTCATTAATAAGTTTTTCACTGAAAATGGCTTAAAATTTTAGAGGGTAGAGTGAAATAAACATTAATATATAGAGTGAAACCTTTTTAATGGTTTCGCTGTAATCCTAAATGAATGTAAGAGACCAATAACCTCACCTCACCGTATGTTGAACAATGCTAATAAATGAAGTGTATTTTTCCTATGTGCATTACTAGACCGTACAAAAAAGTCATTCGGGTAAACAATTTATGATGTAAACAATTGCTTTTTTAGAATATATTTTGACATTCAAAAATGATGATACGAGGAATCGAACACAAGACCGCAGTATTCTATGCTGTAGCTCCTCCAACAAAACTATTCCATCCCACATGAAATTTTCTCAGTCTTGATGACTTTCTCGCATGATATAAGTACAGCGTTCAAGCCTGCTCGTATCATCAAATATTTTCAACCTCAGAACAAATTTTAAATTATCGTAAGTTATCACGTTAATGAAAAAACAATGACAACGAATTATTATCTACTTAATTACTAATAAATTTCTGATTTACAATTATTATGTAGGTATGTGAATGGTATGTTGCCTTTTCCAAATATATTATAACAAACTAGCGAAAAAGAAATGCAGTGATAAATCCCAGAATAACAATTCCATATAAAATATGGCCCAATTTCGTAACTTCCCGGATTGAATATTTTTGTTTTTGTAAACAAAAAGAATTACCTGCCTATCGCCAGCGAGCAAGTTCAAGCGCATAAATTAAAATTTCCGCTCAGCTACGGTTGAAACAAATCAAGCATAAATATTATAGGGGGACGAAACGAATACTACTTTGTGATTAACCATAAATCATAATTTATGACTCCGTGTATTTACAGAGGTATGCTCAACATAGATTTAATGTTTTCATTCCAAATTTTCTTAAAGGAAAAGAGAAGTTATTTTCAGTACGGAAAATATTTTAAAAAACGTTGTTAAAACCCTATTCCCTATTATGAGGCAGAGAGCGAATACATTTTTGTATTATTTTCACTGATGATTGTAATAAGACACAAATTTATATAACAATAAAACAGAAAAGTTAAATTCATTAAGTAGTCTATCTTTTAAGACAAACTAGAACTAGTGTCATGGTTAATATTACTATAGATATCACTTAGGAGGGCGTGAACTAAACCATTAAATTTTCAAACCATCGTTTATTATAATCGGGTAAGCATTACACTAACATCAATTACTTTATATCACGTCATATTCATTGTAAAGCACACTTGTGCTTATTAATGGAGTGCTCTTTAGGCTCTACAACACCATTAAAATAAATAAACTGCTATCCGAAACAATTTGAAGTGTTAAGTGACCGCTGGCTATCAAAAATTACTAGATAACACTTACAATGGCGCACTGGTGACTTATGAAGTGATTAAAAGAAAGTACAGTCAGCAAAGAAAACAAAAACAATTTAGAAGTGTTTTTATTATTTTCTCGTATACAAAAATGGACACTGTTAGTTTTGTTTTTGTAGTTATAGTGCATTTTATCAGGCACTAGTTAAAGGCCGCGAATTCAGTTCATACAAACTGCTTCACTCCATGTTCCCTTCCTTATAATTAAAAAATGTTAATATAATACACCGACTACTATTTTACGTATTTACACTTTTTGATAGAAATCCATTGTTTCTTTGTAAGGGTAATTGCAAGCAATGAATGTTTGAATTTTTCCGTCATATTAGGCTAAGGGCTGTATGTAAAAATATTGCATCCTTTTGAATGTATCTTTCCTGTCAAAATTAATTAAAAATCTATATATTTCTATTTTTTGGTAAGAATGCCACTTTATATTGCTAATGTTAGATACTAACTTGCCGCGCATTAAATGTTTTCTTTATCACTACTCCAACTGAATATTACCACGTCTATAGTTCAATGGTTAAACGCGTACCTCGCGAGAGGTCCTGGATTCAAATCCCGGAAAAACAATAGATTTCAGTGAAACAACTACAAAAAAAGTATTCGCCCCATACACCATATGGCATCCTGTTCTGAAAAAATCCTTTTAAGCGTTTAGTACCCAGTGTAGTTCCTTTACTCATTCTCTATTACATCACAGAGATAGCCACAATCGTGTAACAGCGACTTGACATCTTTATGATGTTTCAAAAACCATTACTAACGACACCTTTTTAGTTACCTGATAGGCACGCGACTGGGTTCAGACAAAGCGTTTTCGTGATAATTACTAACGTCACTAGAGAAAAATATTCCCCCTTTGTTGGAACTGTTACGTTATTTATCCTAATATTATAAAGCTGAAGAGTTTGTTTGTTCGAACGCGCTAATCTTAGGAACTACTGGTTCGACTGGTTCGACTGGTTTTCCCATTTATCGAAGAGGGATTTTGGTTATAAAACTTTCGTTGTGACTAACGGGAGTGAAGAAACAGGGAAATGTGGAAAACATTGCGTGCGCTGCGAAAACGGTTTAAGATATCAAAATAATATTAAATAATTGTTCTTCTTTAAATAATACTAAAAAATATGTCTGCGACAGTAAGATAGTCATTTTTTTCAAATTGACGCACAAGTACCGTTATTACGGTCCGTCCGTCCGTCCATCGTACAGTCAAATTTAGTCGAAATACATACTTCATATTGCAGAACTCTAGCCAGGTCAGCTAGTTTTGTTAACATTATATGTGCAATCATTCAAAGGGTTAAACCTAAAAATGAAGCCTAAATACAAGCCCATTACAAATGGTGGATCTTAGGTCTGGTGGATTTTTGTAAACAGGTCTAGAACGTATCTCTACATACGAATATTGCATTAGATCGTCCTGAACGATGCACATCTAAATGCAGTTTACCTCAGTCATGGAGAATAAAAATCCAACATCACTGGCTTGAAGAGGAGCATCAATACATATTTAAAAATGAATTCTGAAATGAAATCAATACGTCTGAACGTTTTGTGGGCGAGGATCGGCGCGTTATGAGCACATAAATCTCGGAGGTTACCGACGCCCTGGCCGCACCACCTACCTCTACTGTT